GTAACAAGCCTTCCACCACTCCACCCAACAGGGTAAACTTAGAAGAACTATCTGTGAGCAAACTGCAACATAGATTTTCCTATGAACCACAAGCAAACGTATTAACCTCCAGAGTAACAATTAAGTTGCAGCCACTTATCTCAAGATATTCATAGCATAATTTAGGTCAGAAGGGATTTTTACAGCTCTTTTGATCCAGCTCCTGCTCAAAGCAAGGCTAACTTCAGAGTTACATCAGATTGTTCAGACACTTACGGAGATAAGTTCTGAATGTTTTAACCCTCTCCCTACTAGGAATAACTTTTCCGTTAAATAAGCACACGTGTAGCCAACAGCTTCTCATACTTGTAAGGATGTTGCAGTTTTAACTCATACACAAATACTCACTTCATTGTGGTTTACAACCTTTTCAAACTAACCTAAGACAGTGCCACCATCAGAAGCAATGCCATCTTCCCTCTGTTCTTTTCCTAGCTACATGATACCTAAAGCCTCCTGCTCTAACAATCTATCAATCCCTTGTTCACTGGTTATCAATCAACATGGAGACGAACCCCACAAACAAAATGCTAATTTTCTGTTGGATCTGCAAGACAACCCAATCCACCCATTCAGCTGCCCAAGTCTACGCAAAAGGGACTCTAACACACAGCAGAAGAACCTGTCCTTTCCATTACTGGGTTATTTTTACCTGCTTGTTAGTCATCTACTAGTCCTGCAGATCTGCATCTTTGTTATTTTACTGTGCTTTTTACAGTTTCACAAACCCATCATCATACCCATTAATATTTCAAATGTCGTTACACACAATTTAGCATCTGAAGACACCATAGCAGAGCTCATCTGATGTCCTCAGATAACCTGCTATTGTCTGGATAACAGTTTACGTTTCAGAGTACAGATTCAGGAAGAAGCCTTCCCAAAGGCATGGGAAGGCAAAGGTATGCAACAGCAAACTGAGAAGTCTGAAAATACAGTAGATACATATGACTAAGGAAAGACTGAGAATAGCAGACCAGAACAAATGGCTGTAGAACATGAATAGCTGTGACTGCTGACACTATGAAGTTCCATTTCTTCTCTAGCCCATAGAGCCACAGTGACCTCGAAGTTATTCTCAGAACAAAGAGAATAAAAATACCACAGATCTGCTGCAGCCATGTGATTGACTGCCTTTTTGCATCATCCAACTGTTCAAGGCAGAACGTACTCTGTTACAATTTTTCAAAATGAAAATATTTCATTTAAAAAATGCATTAAATGCAGGCTTAGAAGTACAGTGGACCTTAAACTCGCCCTAATGCACTTAAAATAGCAGCACAGGGGCCCAATCTGCCCTTCACCGTGAGGAAAAATGGTATTTTACAGCAAGCTGCACCCATGCCCTAGACCAACTGCGGGCACACCGCTAACACGGGTTCACCCAAGGCCTGACAGACACAAGGCCTAGAAACAGCCCAACGTCAAAGCAGGTGCCCGTGCAACAACAGCACTCTAACTGCACAGGTTGTAGCTGATACTTACAGTTAGCAGCTCAGCATCGTTCACCACCTCTACTGCAGCTCTATTCGTAACGGCCTGCACGCCACACAGATCCCTTAAGGAAGAAAAACCACCAACATGTAACTGGCTGATTATTCCACACAAACTTCTCTCCTCCCAAAAGACCCATCGATCGCTTCGCCAATATTCACCTCAGGTGGAAGGCGCTCGCCCCCCCTTCCCGAGCTCGGCTGCCACCAGCGCGCTGCGGCCGGCGGCGCGGCAGACATTTTGTACGTGGGCACCCACCAAGTTACCACAGGTCGGGGACGCCCCACCGGCACCGCTCCCGAGGAGGCCCTCCCCGATGGCCGCCACACAGCCCGCTCCCGAAGACAACCCCCCCCGGGGCAGGGCCGG